TCAATATAAAGGCTTGCAGTTTATCATTGTTAATAGCTGAATAATACTCCATTGTGTAAAAATACCACATCTTTCTCAACCATTCCTCAGGTGATGGGCCTGTCTTCTTAATAGATTTGAATTTCTTTAAAGAAAGTTCTATGTCATTGTATTTGCATTCTTACTATTTAAACCTAATAAAAGTTTACTAAATGCAGAAATAATGAGTTAACAAATAAGCAGATGGTTGGTTAACTCTGCCTCAGTAGAGCTCTATTACTAAGACCACCATTTCAGTGTTCTACTCAGCACCCATGACCTCATGCTAGCTAGTAATGAAAATGTCTCTGCTTGGGAACACTGAGTTTACAATCCATAATGGACTCTAAATTGAATTTATAATTGCTTTTATAATGCTGCTGTAGTCACAGTCATTCCTAATGCTGAATTTCCAGATGTGTGTTATAACCTTAATTTTCAATTTCATCCTATTTCTGTTAAGTGACACAAAAAGGGAGGGTAGTATGAGTTGAAAATTCTGAGCAACAACTTTAATTTGGTATGTAATAGAGCCTGAAAAAAAAAAAGACCTAAAACAGTTCTAAGTATGATTCAGTCCAAGACCACAATTAGTTACTAATTAAGTTCAGTAGCTCAATACCAAAACAAATGAGGGAGCACAGAATTGCCAGAAAATGGGGAATTTATTTCTTCCCATTGCTTCCAAGCTCTTTGCATTCAGAGCATGTAGACAATCACATACATTGCTGTTATCTGTAGTGCTCTGGTATGGATGGATGAAGCTACTGGCTACCCAGGCCTGTGGCCCTGGGCTCCAGGCTGCTGTGATGACTGGGAAGGAGATCAAGGTCTCAGCACAGTCAGAATCTCCTGTTTTGAGACTGCTGCAGAGTGAAGTTTAGCAAAGGGGAGTAGAATGTACCTGCAAGGACTTGTGGTCCTCATCTTCAGCCAATGCTAACACACAGGGAAGGGTTCACAGTAAGCAAGGAACATGTGCTATCTAAATTTTAGATCTAGGATTTCAACTATGGATGCAAACTGAAGTCATCTGGAAGCTTTTGAAACATAAGAACATGGCAATGCCCAGACTCCACACTTGCACATTAAATAAGAGTTGCTCTTCAGAGGGATGTGGATTGGTTCCAATTGTAAAAATCTCCCCACAGAGGATTTGGAAGTGTCTGAGTTGAGAACACTGATATAAGGGATGACAGTAAAGGGCTAATAAAGGACATAATTCTAATCACGTGTCTTTTAGAAAAATATCTTAATTTAATAGTCATGTTTGGTGGTTTTAACATAGAATTTTCTGTTTCTGTTGGAATAGAAACATTTAAGCCCGTCACTAGTTTGGGTTTATTTCAAAGTGTGGCCATATTTCTAGGATGAAATAGTCCTTGGAGTTTTTAATCTCCATTTTAATGTTTATGCAGCACTGGCAAACATGTCTACCTCATTGGTTAAGAGTGGTAATGGTAGACATTCTAAAATAAAACCTTGAAGGGTAGAGGTGGAGGATAAGTATTCTAAATGAAGAAACAGAAAAATTGCACATGAACAAGAGGGAAAGGAAATTCCAGATGAAGAAAGTGATACAGATCAACAAGAGACAGACAGGCCCCTAATGGTAGCTGAGGGGGCAGCCACAGCCCACTGCTCCACAGGGACGGGAGAGCTGTCCAGGGTGATGCCTCTCCAGAGAGGTTACTTTGCTGTCTGTGGCAGGAACTGCATGGGGAGTTGAGTACAAATAGTGCTTATCAAGCACTAGCTACTTGTCTAAGAGTTTCAGTTAGCATTTCATGTTTCACAGCAATCGCACAAGGTAGATTCTGTTATTTCCCCTGTTCTGTAGGTGGGGAAAGTTAAATACAGTAGGATGCATCTTTGGTTGTTGTTGTTGTTAGCTCTCATTTATTCAGTGACCAGTTTTTGTTTAACCTCACTCAGAGATCTCATGATATAGTTACTGGATAGTGAATTGTTTATGATGGAGTGCCACTGGATGGTGAGAATACATTCTAAGAACTTAATTGTTTGGCAATTTCATTGTTGTATGAAACTGATAGAATGTATTTCATACAAACCTGTGTAGTAGAGGTCATTCAGTCCACATCACCTGATGTAGTCAAAAGACAGTAAGCATGAGATGCATGAGGCTGCCGCTGGCATGCCTCAACACATGTTTTTACAGTAAATTTTTTTAAGTAGGAGTATATGCCAAAATAACAACACAAAATATGGTACATAAGTCAGTACATTTTCATGCATAACTTAGCATGGAAATAATGTCAGGGATCAGAGAGGTAAGGATTTGGAACAGTTCTTTTTTTTTTTTTTTTTAGATATTAAGATGTACTGAGACTTTTGAGCAAGGAGAAGTGTGATAAAAATGTTGAGTAATCCTAGTCTGGAAGGATGGGGAGAGGGTAGGGAGAAAAAAACAAATGTGATCCTAACTGAGCAGTTGGAAAAGAGTCTAGGGGTGCTGTGGTAAAAAGCTAGTAGGTAGGGACAGGTGACAGAGGGCACAGGTACAGGAGATAAAGGACTGCAACCCCAAGTGAGGATCACCTCAATCAGGTCATCCTGGTGAGGAGCTGCATGGAGCCTCAGCTTTGTTTCTGAGTTTGAGGGACGGTAAGTCATTCTGGCCTTGAGTTGTTACTTTACTTGGCATTCTGAGTTTAATATTTTAACTTTATTTTCAATTTTTTATTATCTAAAAGAATATAAGTAGTAAAAAAAACCCCTTATAATGTTCTAATAGAACATTAGAAACAATACTGAAATTCACCATTAACTTTATTTTATATACATCCCTATTTTTAGTATAGTTGGCAACATTGATCTCTATGTTTAAATTTCCCATTAATCTTATATTTGCTATAATGTATTTACTTGTTATAATAATTAAATGAATATTATATTATAATATATACTTATGGATAATATTTTATATTATAGGCTATCAGACCAAGATGAAGAGGGCAAGACCATGCAGGAGTGCATCATATCTAACCCCACATTTTCCATGGTGGCAGTTCAACGGGAAGACAGTGGAATAACCTGGGAGACCAGTTCAAGTAGATCTTCTACTCCATGGGTCTCAGAAGAGAGCCAGACTTCTGGAATGTGTAGTTTGGAAGGATCAACTGTGAGTTCTCCTCCAGGAAGTGTTTCCTTTACCATGGATGAAGTTAAAAAGGTTAGGAAAAGAACTCGTAAATCAAAGCATGGCTCACCACCATTGCATCAGAAAGGCAGCAAAAAAAGAAATTCTTTTGAACACCAAGATGTTCCATCAAACAAAAAAGACAATCCTTTAAGTTCAGAAAGCCAGGCAGGAAACATGGAGAAAGAGAAGTCAACTCTTGGCCTTTATGATAAAACAAGAAAAAAGAAGACCACCTCAAATGTTCCCCCTATTACTGGGGCAATATACAAAGAACACAAACCATTAGTGTTAAGGCCAGTCTACATAGGAACTGTACAATATAAAATTAAGATGTTTAATTCAGTTAAAGAAGAATTAATTCCTCTGCAATTTTATGGAACGTTGCCTAAGGGTTATGTCATTAAAGAAATACATTACAGGAAAGGGAAAGATGCATCCATTAGTCTAGAACCAGACTTGGACAATCGTGGTCCTAACATAGTTTCCAAAACAAGTAAATTGGTCACCCAAAGCACAGAAGGTGATAAAATGGGAGAGCATGGTCCCCCTTGGAGAGATGTGCTTTCCAAAGGATCAAAGTCTCTGAGCTCATTATTTGGTCATGAAGATAGAAAAAAAATTGATGTTGAGTCCTCCCTAAAAGCCACATCTGCACCTGGGCACACAGCCTCCCATTACTCAAGTAATGACATGGCAGAACAAGATGTGTCGCTCAGACCCCCACAGGCAATGCCACAACAGTTAGGTGATGAGGCAAAAGCCCATGAAATGGAGCCTTTCTCTCTCCCTCCTGAGGTATCAGCAACTGGGTTCCTTGAGACAGCAAAGGCAGAATCTGAGGCGGAGGCAGAGGCAGCTGTCAGTTCAGAGATGGACTCTTCAGTCTCTTCAGCCTTGGTTGGTGAAGTTATGCAGGAAGTCATGGGTTCTGCTGACCATGTCGTGTCACTAGAGACAGAGAAGAATTCACTAGGGACAGGCTCACTGGCTCTGTCACCATCTACCCAGGAAGGCCTTGAGACAGGCAAGGAAGAACTAGGACTGACTTCATTAGAAAGGATGGAGCCAGCTTCTGGATGCGTGGCCCCCATTCATCCTGGTGTCCAAGGAGAGAGAGAGGAATCTGGGCTTGAGCCATCCATTTCTCTTCTTGAGTCACTCATGTTCCAAGAACCAGAACAAGATAAACTGGAAATTTCCCCACTAACAGCTGCTTCGCCTGAACCTGAAGGTTCTGATTTGGAAGAAGAGATCATAGAACTTGATTATCCAGAAAGCACATTAGTTTCTAAGCAGCTTTCCCCATCACGGTTGTCCCCTGAGGTGCTGCTTAAAGAGGAGCCCATCCCTGCATTACTGACAATGGCACCACCTGACCATCTCACTGTAACTGAGAATAAGATGGAGGAAACTGAATCTGCTCCTCCTGACTCTGCTTTTGTGTCAGAGTATTTGGTCCCTCAGGATTTGAATAATGAACTAGAGAAGCAAGAATTTGAGCCAGTTTCTCCATCTAACACAAAAGCCATATCTGAATGTGCAGTTTTATCTGAGGGAGAGAATGAGGAGTTTGAGCCTTGTTCCCTGGCTGTGGCCTCAGCATCCGAGAGTTCTCTCTCACCACCCACATCTGAGAAGGCTTCTGGAGGCATGTCACTACTGTCTTCTGCTATCCCTCCAGAGCACATGGTCTTTTCAGGAAGTGAAGCCTCAGAAAGTGGATGTCATACACCAGATTCCACATCTGTTTCAGAATATTCAGTTCCCTTGCATGAAGCACAAGAGTCACTGAAGAAAACAATTGACCACAAGTCCCCATTAAAATCAAAAGGAGTTTCTGAGCACGTGATTTTGTCAGAAGAGAAGAAGGACACTGGGTCACAGTATCCAGCTGTGGCCTCCAAGTCTGAGCGCTCTCTCTCACCATCACTGATGGAGCAGACTTCTGAGTGCCAGAGCCCCCTCCCTCCTGCTGCTACCCCACAACATGTCCTCTCAGAAAATGAGAGCCTTCCAAGTAAACCTCTCACAGCAGATTCAAAATTGACTTCCAAATCTGCAGTTCCCCTAAATGCAACGCAGAAACCCAAGAAGATAATTAATGAGATGCCCCAATTCAAATTAAAAGACAGTTTTGAGCACATGATTCTGTCAGAAACAGAGAAGGAAAATGATGTCTCATGTTCCCCAGAGGTGGCTGTGGTACCTGAATGCTCTCTCCTACCCCACACACCTGAAATGACTGCTGAATACCAGGCCCCACCATCTCCAGGCACCCTCTCTGAACATGTGGTCCTATCAGAAGGAGAAACCACAGAAATGGAGCAGTATTCACACTCTTCCACATCTGCTTCTGAGTTTTCAGTACCACCATATGCAACACCAGAGTCCCAGGAAGAAGAAATTGTCCAAAGATCCCCTTTACATCTCAAGGGCACCTCATCACCCATGAATTTGCCAGAACAAGAAGACATTGGACCCTTTTCTCCAGATTCTGCATTTGTGTCAGAATTTTCATTTTCTCCTGACCCAACTCAGGAAACAGAAAAAAGAGAATTTGAGTGTGTTTCCCCAGTGTGCTTAACATCACCATCTGGACACAGTGTTTTGTCAGAGGAAGACACTGAAGATGTTGCACTTTTCTTCTCAGACTCAGCATCACAAGTTTCAGTCCCACCATACAGAATTCCAGAAACAGAAATGAATGAAAGTGAGCCAGATTCTCTCTTAACAGTAAGGTCTGCTTCAGGATTTTCTTACTTTTCAGAAGCAGATGAGGAAGAAATTGGATCAACAGCTGTTACCCCCATCCCTGAGTATTTTGATTCATCAGAAAAGCAAAAAGATGAGCCTTGTCCTGTCATGTCTACACTTGAAGACCTAAGCCTTCCTTCCTCAGAGGACAAAGCAGACAGTGCAGCAACTAGGCCAAATGTTCAAACATTCTCAACGTCTGTATCAGAATATCTCATTTTGGCACAACAGCAGAAAACTCAAGCACCTCCAAAGCCTGAGTCTGGAGATTTGGTTCCACCATATTTAACTAATGGATCAGAACAGGAAGAAATGAAAGCTAATTCATCAGCAGCTACAACTCAAGCTGCTTCAAACATACAATCATCCATGGCAAAGGAAGAACCCAAACCTGTTTTGCCTATGTCTCAGTATTCAGTTTCACTTGATTCAGTCTGTGCAACTAAAAAAGAACAGGAACCCAAGGCATCACTCACTGTGAAAGCTACAGATGAACAGATGGCTTTGTCAAAAGTCAGAAAGGAAGAAACTGTGCTTGATTCTCAAGAAGCTGTAGCACATGTGTCACAGGATCAAAAACTGGATCCTCAGCCTCCAAATGTTCCAGGGTCTGAGATAAAATATTCAGTTTTGCCTGAGTTGGTAGATGAGCCAAAGAAGGATATCAAGCTCAATTTAGCTCCAACTGTGCCTTCTGAACTAGAACAGAGCATGTTGTCAAAGAATAAGCCTGAAGTAGTCAGAGCATACTCACCTCCAAAGAAAAGCTCTATATCTGGACCTGAGATTTTATCTGGAGTGAAAACGGAAGTGAAATATGATTCCAAAATACCAAGAGAGCTTCATTCAACCTCATCCAGAGAAGAAAAGGAAGTTGAACACGGTTCACGTGAACCAACATTCCCATCTTTGTCAGAAGGAATAAAGAAAGAAATGGAGCTCAGCCCCTTGACAACCACATCTGTAACTGAGTGTGATTCAAACTTGACCACATTAGTAAAAGACATCGCGACAAATTCATCTCCTGCCACCCCTATAGAAAAACATCCAGTCTCAACAAAAGTAGGGAAGGGGGAGCTAGGAAGTGGTTTGCCTGTACTCTGCAAAAATATAGATGAGCATTCCATTCTTAAAGAAGAGGAAAAGGTAGCAATTAGAAATGCTTCTTCTCGAATTGAAACTTTTGCATCCAAAGGTTTGGTTCCATCAGAAGAGGAGGAGGAAATCGAAACAAATTCGCCTCCAACTGTGTGCTTTATCTCAGAGCACTCTATTTTGTCAAAGGTAGACACTGGAGAAGTGAAACCTAGCTTGCCAGTAACCAAAATGTCATTTCCTCAGCATTCAGCTGTGTCTGAGGGAGCAAGGGAAGAAGATAAACAAGGTGCTTCATTGTCTGTGACCCTTGACTCTACACATTTGGTTTCATCACAAGAAAAGAATTCAGTTTTTGCCTCAGAAGTACCAAAGCCTGAACTTGTCCTTTCACTCAGGCTGGGGAGTGGGATTGAGAAAGAAGAAACTAGACTTCTTTCATCACACACTGTGTCATCTGCACCTGAAAACATAGTTCCAGGAGGCAAAAATGAAGTAATTACAAGTTCTTCTCCCGAGTTTGAAAACTTAGTGCCAGAAGACTTAGTTCCACCACTACCTACCCTTGAGGATGACAACAACAAACAATTATGGAATACAACTTCTGCAGCTCATGGGGCTTTTCTGTTGGGAATACAAGATCTTGCTCCAGGAGTACTCCATTTGGAATCAGAGAAGAAAGATAAGCCACATCAAGTATTTGAATCACCAAAGGCTCGGCCAGAACTTACTGATGGTTTGGGCAGACAGACTAGATCTGTGGACACAGAGCCAGTAACATCTCTTACATCTGATACTGAGGGTTCTGTTTTTGAGAAGGGTCCAACTGAAATTTGGAGCAGAGGAGAAGAAAATAAAGAAAACAGGGAACTCTTTGTGTCTGCTATGGAACCATCAAAGATTGCTTCTTCTGACTTCCATGTAGAACAAAAGAAACCTGAAAAAGTACTTTATTCAGATGAAGCTGTTGATTTGTCTGATAAGAGCAGCTCTTTTGAAGATAAGCCAGATCAAAATATTAAACAATTGCCATTCATGAAAGACAACTTGCCTTGGGAACAGTCCCAATCATTTGATACAACTGAGCCTGCACAGCTAGAATTCTCAAGTCCCGGTGATCTGCTGATGCAACAGCTTGAGGCTGCGCCATCAGATGAGGATCACACTTATGGAATTGGGAAACACATTCTGCCCCAGGCTGTGGAAGAATCTCATTCCCCATTAGAAGAACCATCATCCATTCCTGGCATGTCTGGGGGTAATACAAACAACTTATCAACTGAAACTTACTCTTTTGAAGAAATAAAGGGGGTCCAAGAACCAAAACCTCTAGGTCCAGCTGGAAATTTGGAAAGAAACACACAGAAGGGGCATATCCATCCTCCTATGGAGAGTGAAAGTTTTATATTGGCGAGAGCAAACACAGACTTTTCCAGGACTTCCAAAGAAAGCCTCCAGGAAGAAGCCAAACTACCTCCTGAAATGTCTACCCAGAAGCCAGTGTCTGGTCCATCAGCAGAACCAAGGAATTTGGAAACTATCCTCTCTCCTGTCAAAGCATCCCCTTTCCTGGTGGAAGCTGTGGAACCAACTCTGTGCAGTGAGAAAGAAGCACAGAGGAGCACCCCTTCATTACTTAAAGAGAAGCCACAAGAAGAATCAAAAATGGTTCCATCAAAGATTATAGATGAGGCTGCCAAGGGAAGGAAATCAGCATCTGAAGTGAATATACACACCCAAACAACCCAAACAAGATCCATCCCTTCAATCCAGGCCAGAGAAGAACCTCAACCCTCAGAGGCACCTGAATTCAAACAGCAACTGCATGAGAAGCCAAAAGTGGCCGAACAAAGGCTTCCCGAGGAAAAGGGGAAGAAAGGACTTTCCTCTTTCAAATCATGGATGTCCAGTTTACTTTTTGGATCAAGCACCTCAGATGATAAAGTTGCTGAAAAAGAAGATTTAGATATTCAACAAAGTCTCTCTGCAGAAAAAGCAGTGACTGTGATAGAGCCTAAAACTCCTACTGATTTTAATTCAACGAAGAAACCAGCTAATCATTCATTAACAGAGGTGTCTAGTGAAGATTATAGGAAGAACAAAATCCCAGACTCTTCAGAGGAAATGGGCATAAACTTAGTTACTTCTGCTGATAGTGAGGAACATCTCAGAATTCAACCAAATAAGAAATTGGTTATGGAGGAAACCAAAGATGTTCTTTCTGATGTTACTGACAGTAAGAGATACCAGAAGCCTGCAATAGCTGCTCCATCTAACTGGAATATTTCTATCCTTAAAGAAGAACCAAGTGGTGATCAAAAAGAAAAATCATGTTCATTTGACATTGTAAATAAGACGTCACAACAGCTAAAGTCAGATTCATTCAATGTCACAGGTAAAAATGTCACAAAGGAATCAGAGAAGCCAGAGCCAATACTTTTACCAGTAGCAGACTCAAAAGGTAGTTTAATTGATCTTAGTGAGGACAGGTTAAAGAAAGAAATTCCCCAACCTACTTCCTTGAAACTTTCTGAAGAGGGAGTAAAACTCAGGCTCGTCAGCCCAGTGGAGCAGAAAAATAACTTGGAAACTGGATCGTATACCTTAACAGGAAAAAATGGCCTGGCAGACAAACAAGAAGTGGTATCCTCCTTAGGGCTTAGCAAAAGTGAAGAACCAGTGAAAGCACAAATGACACAAGAATATAGACCTATTAAATTAGAAGAATCAGAGGTTGCTGCTAGGCTAGAGCACATGTATCCAAATGAAGAGTATAGGGAAAGAGCCAAAATTAATGTTTGTTCTGAGGAGAAGAAAGGAGAAGAAAAGCAGGCAGAGGCATTTTTGGAAGGAAAGAAGGAGCAGGAAAATCAGCCTTGTTCTCTGAATGTGGCCAGGTCTATGCCTAAAGAGCCAGCCATCTCTTCTCTTCGTTCTTCAAGTGAAACACAATCATTTTTGTTAATTAAAACAACATCAGTTACTGAAAAACCAGGAAGTGTGCTTTCAGAGGCTCACTCAGAAGTCAAAGAAAGAAAAGTGGTAGAAAGCCAACCATACCTGGTAGAAGAAAATGAAAGTTTTGTGAAGAAAACCAAGATTTTGAGATCAGTGAATCTTCCTTATCATGATGAAATTAATAAGCATCCTTTACCTCTGGAAGAAAATGTGATATTAGAAAAGCCAAGCAGAGATACACCAGATCACAGAGAGGAAAGGGGGCAGTTCACAGTGTCACAGCTGTCCACAGGTGGTTTAGTAGACACCACAAAAGAAAGGGTGAGGCAATCATCTTTACATGGAGACCCTGAAAGAACTGTAGGTCATCATTCTGATGATATAAAGAGCCTAGAAGTGACACCATATTTGTTATCATCTATAAGATCACAAAGCCATATTCCAGAAGTTTGTCCAGAAGTTAACACAGAGAAGAAACAAGATATGCCATCATCAGTACTGACTCCAGGTCATCCTACAGGCCACACCATTCAGATGTCTGAAGATCACCCATCTGAGATATTGGAGCAATCTGTTCTGCTTTCAAAGCACCAGCTGGAGACTATGGAAGATGCTCACATATATGAACCAGTCTCTTCAGCAGTGAGCAACTATGCCCAATTTATAATTAGTGCATCAAGAAGCACAGCTGCTGAGATGGCTTCTACCACAGAAATGTCCAAGGAGTCTGAAGATACATATGCAAGAGATGTGGAATCCACAGTGACTAGTAAACCAGCTGGCCTTTCACAAGATCAGAAGAGTGCCTTCAGTATAATTTCTGAAGGGTGTGAGATATTGAACATTCATGCACCTGCCTTTATTCCTTCAGTGGATGAGGAAGAAAGTGAACAAATGCAAGACAAGTTAGAGTATTTAGAAAACAAAGCTTCACTTAAGACTATAGCCCTTTCTGATGATAGTGAGGCAATTGTTTGCCATAAAATGTTACAGGGTAAGATGGAAGATTCTGATGGAAAAGTTACACCGTTGAAGGAGGATGAAGGAAAGGGAGCTCATGTTACAAAAGAGAAGCTATCCTTGGACTCAGACACTGGTGATTTAGCTTTCAGTCAGTCAACAATTCCTAGTGAAGAGGATTACTTTGAAAAATATACTTTGATTGATTATAACATCTCCCCAGGTCCAGAAAAACAGGAAGCTCCATGGAAATTAACTATGAAAGAAGTGCTCTCAAAAGGAGCTACAGAAGAAATACTCACTTTTCCAGAAAGTTCACAGGAAGGTGCTCTAGAACATGCATATGACCTGGTGAAATTAGACGAAAGTTTTTATGGCCCAGAAAAGGACCACAGCAAGTTATCTCAGCCAGGGATACAAAAGCCTTTGGTTACCCAAAAATCAGCTGACAGAAATGCTTCAAAGAGCGTAACTAGAGATGTGGACTCCAGGTTGCCTGGGATGCCTTTATTTGGTTCTGAGGAAGGGGTTTTATCCAGAACCCAGATATTTCCAACCACCATTAAAGCTGTTAATCCTGAACTCCTGCAGGAGCCACCCGCACTTGCGTTTCTATATAAGGATCTGTATGAAGAGGTAGCTGGGGAGAAAAAGAAAGAAGAGGAGATAGCTTCTGAAGGTGACAGTGTGAATTCTGAGGCATCATTTCCAAGCAGAAATTCTGACACTGATGATGGAACAGGAATATATTTTGAGAAGTATATACTCAGAGATGACATCCTCCATGACACATCTGTAACGCAGAAGGACCAAGGCCAAGGTCTAGAAGAAAAACCAGTTGGTAGGAATGATTCATATCAAATGATAGATTCAGAGGGGGAAATTTGGAGGAAATCTGGAGCTGCTCTTTGGGAAAAGAGTCTGAAAGAACAGAAGGCTGTTTACAGAGAAAAATCTGTAGGCCATGTGGAGACCTCTGATGAAACAGCAGTGCAGAGGACGGTTCCCATTGTCGAGGAGATCAGTGCAGTTGACCAGAAGTTAAGCTATGCGGTTCCATTTCAAGACAGCTGCAATGTTTTGGAGAGTATTGCTGAAGTGAGCAGTGAAGGTCATGAGACAGGAAACACAAGCCCAGAGGTCAGTCAGAATGTTCCAACACAAGTGTCCTTCACAGAAGAAGGGTTTGCATCAGGTGCAGCTTGTATTCCAGAGACATCACAAGAAGAACCTAAAATGCTGGTGCCACCCACACCAAGTGAAGAGTGGCTCCGAAACAGCCCTGTGCAGGATGAGTATGAGTTTGCTGAATCCCTGAATTATGAAGTGGTTAGTCAGGGCACTCTATCAGATGAGCTGTGCTCAGAATCTGCACAGGAAGGCATGTTGCCTCAGGGGAAGGAGTCCTTTGAACACCTCGGGAAATGTGAATTTCTCACTGAGGCAGAACAGACTATGTCTGCTGACCAGAATGAGTTAGGTAGAAAGAGGACAGCACAAGACCAATTGTCATCAGAGTTAGTGAGCGAGAAGGCACAAAAGGAACCGAGAAAGTCCCAGATTGACACATACTGCTACACCTGCAAAAGCCTAATTTCTACAATGGACAAGGTGTTTGGCACCCACAAAGATCATGAGGTTTCAACGCTTGACACAGCTATCAGTGCTGTTAAGGCAAGTTAACTCTGAATCATAATATATAAATAGATTTATATTTTTAAAAGAAAACTATATTTACTTTTAGTTTTCTGATTTAAAAAAATGACCAATATTTGATACATTCATCTTTATGGAGAATAGTCTGAAAGCAAACTGAGAATATTTCCTCAAGAATTTAGTTGAGATTGGCCTGACAAGTATTTATTGAGTATGTACTCTGTGTTGGGCATTTTTCTAGGTCCTGGGGGATACCAAGAAATAACATAAGGTCACTGACTTTGGGGGCTTGTCATCTTATAGCAGGGACTCAACATTATAAAAATAGCACACAATTTTAAATTTAATAATATACATTTAAATATAAAATACAACTTATTTTCTGCCATCTGTAGTGTTGTTCTTTAAAATAATCACATATATCACATAGAGAAATTTTATTATAAGACATAAAATACTCATGTAAGATTTTAATTCTGATTTTTATAAAATTTATGATATAAACAGAAACTACATTGTCTCTGGCAGCGTCAATAGGATCCTAACCTCTATATACAGTTAGTCACTGAGCATATCCTTATGTGTGTGGATATAAATTGTCTGTCTTCCTAGGGATGCAGTTGGAAGCAACATTTAGGTTCCCGTGTACCCTTTTAGTCACTTTCTGACTGGTCTCCCTGATCCTGTATCATTAATCCCTTTTCCCACTGGCACTCAGGATATCCTTGAAAATTAGCAAGCAACCAGAAGAGTTGAGCATTTATGGTATGCCAGTATGTTAAGTTCTTTCTATACAGGATGACTTTTAATTCTCAAACAACCCTGTCAAGTCAGTGCCATCAATTTGCAGATAATGAAATGAGCTCAGAGAGTAAGTGATTTGCTACAGTCATGGAGGCCAGACTGGGATTGGCACTCAGGTCTGTCAATGCCAGAGCTAGTGTTTTTGATCTTGTGTTTAGATTGTGTGGCTCAGTGTCTTGCTATTGGTAGTGATTTCTATTTATCATTCAATTCAGTCGCTAATAAATAAGTGTCAGACTATTTTGATTAAATAACAAAACAAATTAGTCTTGGCATTTTTTTCCTACTAAGTTAATCCTTCTCAATTTGTCTGATACTGATTCCATTCTTCCTGGTAAAATTTTTTGGAAGTTTTTTCCTGGTAACATTTGGAAGCACTGGGCATGATGGCATGTACCTATAATCCCAGCACTTGGTAGGCTGAGGCTTAGAAGAACTGCCATGAATTCCAGGCCAGTGTGGGGCTACATAAGTGAGTTTTAGGCCAACCTGAACTGCGTAATGAGATTGTTTCTAAAAAACAAAACAAAACAAACAAACAAACAAAACAAAACAAAACAGGGCATAAGCAAAATTTTTAAAACTTTCTTTTCTTTTAAAATCTTTTGTTTATTTGGTACAAGGTCTCACTATACAGCACAGAGACTCATGGTGATCCTCCTGTCTCAGCCTCCCCAGTCCTGGGATTACAGGAGTGCACCACCACTAATAGTGGGCTCCAGGGCTGGAACAGCATGTAGTACTGGGGATTGAACCCAGGTCCTTGCACTTGCCAAGCAGATGCTTAGACTGCCAAGCCATCTCTCCAACCCCCAATAGGCAAAATTTTGTGAAAGCACAAATATCAGTCACATGAGCTCCAGTGAGAGGACCCATTCTGTGGGGTTTCTGATCATTACTGCATTACTAGCTGAAAGAAGACTGGATTTTCCAACTGTCTTTATATTTTACATATGAGTTTTAGAAATTAAAAAATAACTGTCTCACACTGTCCATCAACATTTTTGAGGCATAAAGAGAAGTATCTCCTGCCTTAAAAACATTATTTTTGTTTTTTTAAGCTTTTCTAAATGATGTGAGCAGAAAGTGGAAACCAACTGCATCCAGGGGCATGTGCTTGCACTTCATTAAGATAACTATGAAGGTGCCAGGGAGATAGCTCAGTAGAATAAGTGCTTCCCTGGCAAGCACAAGGGCCTGAGTTCAATCCTCGGTTCTGCAAAAAAAAAAAAAAAAAAAAAAAAACCTAATAAATAAATAGAAGATATCTATGAAGACTAAAAATTGATCAGCAACTTAAAAAAAAATCAGTTGAAAAAGGCTGTGCCTTGAGAGTTCTCAAGCCTCTTGCAGAGGGTGTCTTGAACCTCTTCAGGAGCTGATGCTGCATTTATGATAAACTCAGTCCTCGCTTCTCCTCCAGGCCTGTCACCCTGTTGGCCCATCTTCCCTTCCTTGATTCATGCCTTTGCTTCCTTCTCAGTACATAATGACCTCCTGGTGTCTGCCAGGAGTGCAGCTGACAGCAAGAGTAAGAAGCAAGAGGAGGGTGGATTTGTAAGGTTCCCCAGATCAAGGCATAGAGTGCGCTCCTGGCATGGATGGATGGGGAGGGCTGTGGAAGGTGTTTCTAAGGCTCAATGCTTAGCTCAGTCTTAAATGAGAGAGCCCTACTAGCAGTCAAAGGCTGGAGAATATTCCAGAACTAGAGAAGAAACAAGAAAATGTGCACATGTAAGAAGTGTCTGAGGAAAGTGCGCAGCTGCAGCATGGGAACTGGGTCTGGGAGATTCTAGAAGCAGGGACTGGAGGGACAAGCGGCAGATCCTTAAGGTACTTCCTTCATGCAACATCTTCCTTGTTTGATGGGAGACTGAATCAGACAGTGAATTTTTTTTTGTTTTGTTTTGTTTTTTCCTAGCAGGGCACACTATTGCTAGGTTGATAACTCTGGTTAATGTAGGTACCATCCTTTCTCACTGCCCCATTCATTTTCTAGTTGAGTATTTTAACTCATTTAACTCAAGAAGGTCTTTAGGATGCTTGTGTCCATTTAGTAGGCAGTTCCTAGCATTTGGTACACGGGATCCCATCACCTCTGCAAAGCCAGGCCTGCCTGTGTGCCTGATGCCCCAGGTGTGGGCTGTGAACAGTGGAAAGTAGAACAAGGCTTTACTAAAGAGAGGGCATTCAAATCTGTAGCTCATTTAAGTAAGTTTGCTAATTTCCCAAGAAGTCAGTGGTTTTTTTTTTTTTTTTTTTGCATGAGAAGATAAACTGTCTTTCCTTTTTCACTGATTTTAACTTTTTTAAGTACATGTTTGCAGTGCGTAACAATTGCATTCCTCATATGGAGTTGGTATGTGTACATAACTCATTTTAATTCAAGTCCCCTTTTGCTCTCCTCCTTCAACCCTCCCTCCCTTTCTTGGTTCATTTCCTGCTTGCTAAAGATCTTTGTTCCTGTTTCCTATTATCTATCATTTGTTTTGCTCTTTATTTATATTTTAGGATTCTCATATATTATATAACTGTCTTTCTGCAGTTGCTTTGGTGCTGTCACTCACAAATTTCTTGTTTTTCTTACGGAATTATCTATAATCAATGTAGATGAAGCAGCAAAAATAATTCAAACATTTCCTAGTTGAATATGGTACATGTAATTTTCACCAAATATACCAGACTTATAAGGAAGTCGGAATCCACTGCTTGAAGTTCTTTTCCTAGGTGTTATGTATTAAGGATACTATAATTTTTTTTCTGCAGGTTCAATTAGCAGGATTTCTTGAAAATTTACAAGAAAAATCCTTGAGGATTGAAGCCTTTGTTAGTGAGATTGAATCTTTTTTTAATACCATTGAGGTAAGTTAACATAATCCCTTTTCCCTTATTTTAAGTAAATGATTCTGAGCTAAAAGGATTTGAATTAGAGAGAGAGAGAGAGAGAGAGAGAGAGAGAGAGAGAGAGAGAGAGAATGAATGTGCACATGCACTTGCACTACTCATCATTTCTGGTTTTGTTCCCTTCAGAGTGAGAGTACTTGGTGTCTTGCTGGATGCTACTTTATGTCTAAGGATTGAGAGTTTGCCTGGCACAATAGACATTCAGTTGTGGGCACTTGCTCTATTCAGGGTTTTACATATTTACCTAATTTAATCCTCCAGCATCCATATGATGTAGGTGTTATTGCTTCAGTTAGTACCTAAAATGTGGAGACTTAGAGTTCAGTACATTGTCCTGCTTTTCTGGCTCTTCTTGCGATAGCCCTGCTGAGATGCTGGGAGGCACTGCCAGGCCTGTGCCCAGGCCAGAGAGCCACTCCCGGGGCAGCTGTGCTCATGAACTCACCCCTCTTGGCTGCTGCTGAGTACCCCACACAGTGAAGGGAGCAGGTAGTGATGCTCCATGCCTGTGCAGAGAGGGCCCAGCAGCTCCCCATCAATCAAGGCTGGCAGAGGCCAGAGCCAAATGATTGCTTTTATTTATTTATAATTAGATTTCATTAGTACATTTTAGATATACAGAATGATCACATTCATCATAGAAAATTTATACCTGTACATGATAGAACTTGGCTTTTTGCCTCATTACCCTACTCTCTTTAACCCCTTCTCTTCTCCATTTAAAAAGTTGTTTTCATGTTTTCCTTTTCTCACTTTTTTACTTTTCCTTCCTTCATTCTACCTCTTCTTTCCCTTGTTCCAGTCCCTATTTGAACATTCCCCCCCTTTTTTTTAAACAATATCTAATATACATTTTGGTTCTTATTTACATTTCTGGTTTTTCATATCAGAGAAATAATAAAATCTGAAAGGACAGCTTTTAGAGAGTAAATTATATGATCACCTTATCACTAACTCTGCTGATGAGGATAGCCCCGAGATCTAGGTTGTCCAGTTGTGTAACAAAGAAGAAATTGCTCCCCCCCCCTCCACCAGAACATTTGGGAACTTAGGACCTGCTCAGTATCCTGGCATCTCCCTCTTTCACACTGTGATCTTAGCGGAGTGCAGGAAATGGCACCAACCCTTACCACCACCTGGTGACCTGAGATTCTTGCTTGCTCCAGTGCCATTTTCAAGTTTTATTGTGTGGAATACAGCTGAATAAGACTTCCATACAAATCCACCCCCCAACCCCGTGCTTTGGGATTTCAATATCTAAAATCTTCTGGATGGTACTCTTACAGCTGGTTCTATTGCACAGCTAATTGTGGTGAAGGTGGTTGGTAGGTTAGAAATCTAATATTAATTAAATATGAATTGCACAGTCTAAAAATCTAAAAGTCTGATTTTTTTTTTATTGAGGTACTGATTGTCAGTTCTTTAAAAAAAAAAAAAAAAGAAGGAGGAGAAAAGGGATGCATTTCTTGTTTCATTCAGGAGTGTTTTTTTTTTCTCCTTCTAGGAAAACTGTACCAAAAAGGAGAAGAGGCTAGAAGAACAGAATGAAGAGATGATGAAGAAAGTTTTGGCACAGTATGATGAGAAAACCCAGAGTTTTGAGGAAGTGAAAAAGAAGAAGATGGAGTTTCTTCATGAACAGATGGTTCGCTTTCTGCAGAGCATGGACACCGCCAAGGACACCCTGGAGGCCATCGTTAGGGAGGCAGAGGAGCTTGATGAGACTGTGTTCCTGACAGTAAGAACTGGGTGTGACAGGCACCCACTCTGCTACAAGTCTACTCTCAAACATCATCTTTCAACATTCCTCAAAATTATTTATATTACTGTATGGGGCTTGTATAAATCTTCCATTTTAGAATTATCTGGGCAAACAGGATACCCCAGAAAATTCCCCACAAATCCTAGGAGTTCCAATGCCCAGGTCCAGCTGAAAGATTCATGGAGTCAGGCCATCTTGTCATACAGGACAGGGATTTGTCTAAGAGAGAATGGAAACAGTCTTTCTTTTCTTTTTTTTTTTTTTTGGAAACAGTCTTTCAACCTTATCCTCCCACCCTATCTCCTGGTCACTGGCATCTTCTCTCTGGCTGCTGGGCTTTTCCTTTCCATTGTGGTGTCAGAAGAGGCTTCTCACAGGAGCCATTCCTTCAAAGCCTGGCCAACGCTGAGGAACATTTTGGTACACTTTTTGTGACAAAAGGATACCATAAATTGTGGGACCTCTCTCAAGTATTGTGGTATCATTTCTTCGAGTGGCTACCTGAAGACAAGGTCCCTTAATTCCAGCAAACAGTTGTAGACATGACATTCCCTTGGGTGCTCTTTGATTGTTCCAGAGTCAGATTTTTAGGCCACATGATTCTCTAGGACATCAGGCAGATGCTAGCTTTCCACAGAGCTAAGATTAACCAGGAAGAAGCAGATGCATTTCCAGAGGGCAGCTCAAGCCTCCTGGGCAGCCCAGTGACAGTGTCACCTTTTGATAGGTGGGGACCTCCTGTTAGAAGACCCTCCTAGCCCACTGGGGAGGTTGGCCATTTCAAGAAGATCTCAGCCTCAATCATTAGACTGCTTCATGTTTTATTAAGGCAGAGCTTCAATATTTTTAAATTAGCATTAATGAAGTGCTTGTGTTCCTCAAGAACCTTATCTTTGTTTGATAAGAATATTTCCTTTGCTCTAGAAGTAGCAGATTGAAAAAATTCTTCCTTATATGTCGTCATTCTAGAAAAACTGGAAAAAAAAAAAAGCACTGAGAAGGTGTAACTACTGAGAGATAATCACATTATTTATATATATATTATATATATATGCAAATTTAAGTCATTTTTTTCAGAGAATCTATTCTGTTTTTTTTTCTTTTCCTTTTTCTTTCTTTTTTTTTTCAGAACCGGGGATTAAACTCAAGGCCTTGAGCATGTCAGGGAAGTGCTTATTCTACTGAGCTATCTCCCCAACCCCCAGAGAATCTATTCTGGAGGCCAAACCATTTTTTAATAAATAGAGAGAAGCAGAGTACAAACAACCCATTGCCAGCCTCACTGATCAGAGAGTGAAGGGACTGAGAATGGAAGCCCCTTCAGCCCTGTCCACCCCGCAGGCAGTGACACTGGCCTGAGCTTGCATTTCCTGGGGCCAGGGAAGGGGAGGAAGACTGTTTTCCAACTTTGTGGTTCTAAAGCTCTTGGTTGGTTTTTCTTTTTGTTGTTAATCTCTCTCTCTCTCTCTCTCTCTCTCTCTCTCTCTCTCTCTCTCTCTGTCTCTCTCTCTCTCTCCTCATTTTCATCTGCTCCATAAGTCATTTGAGGAAATCAATGAAAGGTACAGTATATGAAACATGCACAATGTTCTGGCGAGTGGGACTATAGCATGACTGGATGCTTTATTTTTAATATCTTGATGTTTTTTTAAAAAACTGTCAATTAAAAATCCATCTATGCAGCTACTAAATTTTCACTGTTAGACATAGTGCTTTTAAAAACTAAATGACAGGTTGGAAAGCAAATTGCATGGGCTTTAGCTAAATAAAAATTATCATAATGTAGATTTTAACTGCTTCTGTGAGAGGTATTCTGTATTTTTCAAAGTCTTATCTAGACCATCCCTCCATCACTGCAAACAAAATTTTTGTACACAACTTAGACTTATTGGTTAAATGTGAGTATCTAAAAGAATCATCCTTGTCTGCTAATCTTGTGACTTATATAATCTAAATAGCATGTTCCCTCACCTCTGTTCAAAAGATAATCATACACTTCTCTTTTGCTTAGCTAAACTAAAGGGATTTTACTCTTGATTTTTGTTTTTGTTGATATATTTAACATTTAGTCTAAGAGAGTCTTCATTCTTTAGAAAGGCAAAACATTCAACAAGAAATAGAAAAGTTTTAGAAAAACATAGACATGTTTTTCTTTTTGTGTGTATGATGCTGGGGCTTAAACCCCAGGCCTCCCTTAAGCCCGGCAAAGGCCCTACCACTGAGCTGTACCTTAGCCCATGGTTAGCTCTTGAAGCACACGATGTGAAAATCCTCATGTTGATCCCTTTTTTTTCATTTGTCCCCTTGTGAAAATTGAGGTCTCTCTTACAGGTTGAACTTAATGTTTAATCTTTTAATGTAATTTTAAATGTCAATTTACAAATTGTAAATATTATCTTCAATTTATTTTCATAGCAGTTCAAATTGTGAAATTGCATAGAGTAAAATTGGAAAATTGCATGTGTGGTATATTAAGATATATACAAATGGATTTGTTTTGGAAATCCAATCCTTTTTACATAATTGAAATTATTCAGATGAATCCTGCAAAAGTGTATTCAACAGAATATTGCTAACATATTTTATGAAAATAGTTTCTGTATTATTATTTGTGTTAATCAATAAATGTTTTATATAAATAGAGCTACCTGGAAGCTTTAGAAAATGCCAATTTCTGAATCTCATCTCCTGAGATTCTAGTTTAATTGATCTGAAGTATAATCTGGACATTTTTAAAACTTCTCAGATGATTCTAATTTACAATCTGGGCTGAGAACCTCTGGTTCATAGCAGTCTGCCCTCTGGCCTCTGTCTGAAACTGAATCACCTGCAGTTTGTTTAGCCAAAGTCTCTGGGCCCCAGAAACTGCTGTGTTAGAGTTCCCAGAGTAGGCCCAGGCATCTGCATACCATTCAGTTCCACAGAGCAGTGGAAGATGCACCATCCAGGTCTTGAAGCTGATACTGGAGCCTTGATGCTGATTTTTACTTTAAAAATTAAATTTTTTAAAAATTAAAAAATTATTTAAAAATATTTTCCTAAATATTATTATTTTTCTTATTCAAAAATATATGGATTTAGAGTGTCATTCCATATATAGTGGATTTATAGATGTCTATTTGATCATGCTTCAACCATTCAACGAAGGTAATGGTTGATTTTTTAAGAAAAGGATACATGAAAATTTGTGAAATATTTTTACTTTATAGTGCTCTAGAATGTTTTTGCTTTTCTAAGTATTGGAATATTGCTAATATGAATTGACAGCTATTTAATACTAAATGATATCTCTTTTGTTTTGTGATTAACCTAACAATTTCTTGCTATAATTAAAGTTTCTTGTCCAGTTGACAATGAATTAATCTTTACTAAAGCAGCACATCACATAAAGAGAACACACCTAGGATAACTATTATTTTTCTGTAGGGAAAAAAAACAAAATTCAAGGATTTGGTGAAAAAATATGAGCAATTAAAGAAAGCCTGTTAACATGTGATATGCATACAAATGCACACACAATGCACATACACATGCACACACATGCACACACATGTGCACACACATGTGCACACATGCATACACACATGCACACACACATGCACACACATGCACACACACATGCACCCACATACACACCCTTCATGTCTTCAAGACATATTTACCACCATGTCTCAGTGTTACTGGCATTCCTTTCTATATGTGCTAAATATTTAGTTTATTTGAACTTGCTGCTTTTTTTAATCTCTAAAGGCAGTGCTTGTATATTAAGTGATTTTTCTTGACACCAAAAATGCTTAAATTAAGGAACACTGTCAAGCATATTTAGACTAACATTTGCATATCTTGAAAAACACATTTGCTTAGAAAATGCTCTTCTGTTAAGGAGAATACATTTCCTCTTCCATTTTACTCTTTTGTATTATAATAATGAAAAGAGAGTTTCAACCATTTTGGACCTACTTGTAAAAAGATGTTATATCTAAGCCCTTTCATATGCTGATGTTAAAACTCAGCAGGCAGTTTGCAAGGAAAAACTCAAACATCTTGTGGAACCCACAGCCAGAGCTTTTGTGCTACGTAAAGTCCTGCATTTAGGCAATGGTGTATATTGAGAGGACTTAGTGTACTTATTGTTCACTGCTTTTTGTTAATTCTGAGTCTGTTGTTTCTACCCCTGCACTGCAAAGCGTTAGTTTACACTTCATCTGTCTCCTTACAGCCTCTCTTGTCTGTGCTCTGGTGCTTTCTTAGATACTTGTCAGAATCTTCTTCACTCCCTTTGCAGAAATAATTCTGAGCTTTCCTGGCTTTAAAAGATAAATGGAGGCTCTTGGCAGGTCTGAAAGGCTCTTCACAGTCAAGCCACAGCTACTTTTCCATTTTATCACTCATTGTCTAGAAGAGACAGATGGGAAAGAGCCCAGCTCTGTGGTCTCCTCTCTGCCCTCTGGCCCTGCAGGGGCCCAGGCTCTTCCTTTCTCTGTGACACTCTTGCCTCCTTCCTGCCCAGCAACCTCCCATGTGCTCTTTAAGATCCAGTTCAAATGTCATCTTCTTTTTGACTAGAACTATCTCTCATACATCAAACACTAGTGGATTTAATGATATCCAACAATCGGAAAAAAAAAAAGACTGTCTTTAAATGCCTCACAGTCATCTCCTTTCATACTGACCCCAAATCTACAACCTCTGAGATCCTGATGTCTTACCAAAATGAAACTATTAACTTAACTTTATTAAAAAAATGTGTTTATAAAATGCTTACCACATGCCATGTATTGTCTTACAATGCAGTGGTGAATTGAACAGTCTTTTCCTGCATGTAAATTGTATTCTGGTGAAGCAGACAGATAAAATTCAAGTAGATGGTGATAACTTTGAGGAAACCAAGTGAGTGAAGGCTGGAAGCAGTGGGTAGGCTGCACAACCTATGAGGAGGAGACAGTTGTACAGTGGGTGAAGGAAGTGGCTGTGCAAGAGCATAGCAATAAAGCTCCAAGGGCACCTTAGGAGGCCAGGGTGGGCCTGTTCTGGAAAGTCAGAGGTTCTTGGGAATGAAGTCCAGGCAATCCTTGAACTGGACTCTGTTGCTGAAAAGTCTCCCAGGCCTGTGCAGCACACAGAAGCTTCTCATGTACCTCAAAGCCTATGTTGAAGACACATTCTTTGCAAACTGTCTCTTTCTCTTTCCCTTTTGTTTTTTTTTAGGTCCACATTTCCCCTTGATACAAATACTAAGAGCATCCATTGCTACTTCTTGTAGGAGAGACTTGAGTCTCTAAAAGCTATTAATTTATAAATTGTGGCTTTTTTAGTCTTTCAAGGACAGTAGTAGGCCTTGCCTTCTTCCGCTGATGTAACACTATCCTTGGCCCAGTGCTAGGCTGTGTTGGGGATGATTAAATGACCAGAACCTTGGAGTTAAGGTGCGAGAACCTCCTTCAGCATGTGATTCTCCAAATGAGTTCTGAAAATGTGTATCCTTTAGGAAATTAAAAAACAAACAAACAAACAAACAAACAAAAAAAAACCAGAATCATTGACATGACATTATTTTTAGAAGTCACTTTATAGAAAAAATTTATATATATGACTGCATAATCTGTCAAACTATCTTTGAATCTAAGGATACAGAAATGAAATTTTCAATATTAAAAATTGCCTAGAAACACAAAGTGTGCCTAGACATTAGACAAACTATATTTTTCAGACTCCCAAAACAATCCAAATCTTTTCTGGATACAACGTGGGTCTTGTCTCATAAGAACCACTTGCACCAAGACCTGCTTCATTTGAGGTGGTGCTGTGTGTTCTGGGGCTGCTCTTTGTACTCCAGCTTATGGCAGTCTGATTCCCTAGGCTGCTGTCTGCTGTGGCCAGCACAGCCTCACTGGAGAACATGCCAGCCGCCTTCTCACTGTTCGAGCATTATGAGGACTCCTCAATCAGAAGTGACCAGATGCTGAAGCAAGTGGCTGGTGAGCACTTTAATCTATTTATCACCTTGATGAAATTTGGTAGCTTGCATTTGTTTTAACAAAGTTTCTATAATTGGAAGAAGAAAAAGGCTGGTTGAAAAATTTTAAAGCCTGAAGTCAGCTTCACATTTCGATGATAAACTGCATTTCCAGTTGGAGCTTTGTGGCTGTCCTGGGGTTGAAGGGGACCAGAGGAAGGCAATGGGGAGTTGGAGGTCCCTCCTCTCCCCTCTCCTGCCCTCCCCTTCCTGTCTCTCAAGTTTAAAAATAAGATTTTTCTCTGTATAAAAGAATATTTATTTTTGTGTGCAGTCAGGTATAGAATGAAAGAGGAATTAAATGTTTCCATGGCGTTGAGCTCATTTTTCCTGGTGAATGGCTTTCTCCCTTCATTTCAACCCTTTTCCCCCTTTTTAAGTCAAATAGATTATCTTGGAGAACTAACAGCTCAGCATCACGGTCTGCAGCCAGGAGCCTTCCACTCAACTGTCAGAAGCATCCTGCTGGCTCTCCAAAATATTTTTCAGTGTGCTATCTAACAAACAAGACAATAAAACTTATGTAGATGTTTTTAAACTGCTATGTTGCAGTTACTGAGTTTTACTTACTGCATACTGCACTCTTATATGTTCAAAGATTCTATGTTATTCCAAAATTACTTAAGGATAGCAGTTGTGTTTATATTGACAACTATATTTTATTTCTGTAGAAAGAGTTTTAGTGTCTAATAAAAGATTACTGTGTCTTTAAAAAGATAACAAAACAAACGTAACCCACTTAAAAAGAATCGCACAGAAACCCAATACTCCAACAACCCTTTGTAAAATGAAAAATTCAGTCACTTATTCAGGTAGATTTTGTATAGAAATGTCTCAAAATAAAAGGTTGTTTTCTTATCGTTATGAAGGGTTAAACTAGGCTGGCAATCACAAACTAAGAAATTCTGATTATGAGAGCAAATCTGTTCTTAAGAAATGTGTTCCCTGCTGCTGTTCATTTAGAAGGATAGACCCAGTCCTAGCCCAGGCCCGGTGAGTGTGTGGGAGAGCTTCCAGCTACAGGCACAGCTGGATAAATCCAAACTTTATAGATCTGCCCCTGAACTTCAGTAGGTGCTAAGGTTATAACTGCAACAAAGATCTACAACAAAGGTCAGAAGACAGTGCTACAGACAACAAGAAGGAGCAAAATGCAATCTCAGACCCCAAGCCCACCCATAACAAGTGCAGAGGACACTAACACAGAACAAATTGGGAATCACACAGCTGAAAGCAATGAATCAACAGCTTCTGAAATAAAGAAACAGCTGCAGAAAGGTATAGAGGAACTCAGATTGGAAATGAAAAAAGAAATCCCTGAATTAATAACATCTGCAGTAAAGAATCAAATGCAGAAACATATGGAGGAAACCCAGTGCTCATCCAAAACAAGTGCAGAGGACATTAGCTCAGCTCAAATGTATGAATTAATAATGTCTATAGTAAATAAGCAACAGCAGGAAGTCATAGAGGAACTCAGAGTGGAATTCTTTTCTACTAGTGCAGCTCAAATGTATGAATTAATAGTGTCAATAGTAAATAAGCAACAGCAGAAAGTTATAGAGGAACTCAGAGCGGAATTCTTTTCTGAAATAAATAATTCTCAGAACTCATAGCATCTGAAGTAAAGAATCAACTACAGAAACATAGGGAGGAAACCCAATCTTAAAAAAACACTGCAGTAAAAGAATTAATAACTGCTTCTAAAGAAGACATTAATAAAAAAAATAGAGGAGATTAGAAAAATGATGAATTCCTTGAATGAGCAATACAGGAAAGAAATAGATCACATGAAAGCAGAGTCAAAGAGTTTTAAATGCAAAACCATTTAAGTGAAAGTGAAGACAGAGTTTCAGTTCTTGAAGACGCTGGTGCAGCTAATGAAAAGGTAAGAAAAGACCTCTTAAAAACAACGAGGATGCAGGAAAGAATAATCCATTACCTGCAAGATGATGCAAAGATGAACAATGTGAGACTAACAGGCATCAATGAGAAAGAAGGAATCAATACAAATGACATTAAAAAAATATGGGCAGAAGTGATAGCAGAAAACTTCCCAAATATAAGGAAACAATCTGACATTCAGGTAACTGAAGCATACAGAACGCTAAATAACCTCAACCCAATTAAAAACACACTGAGACATAATAGTCAAGATCCTAGAAATTCAGCTCAAGAATAATATACTGAAAGC